TTTACCATTAAAATGTTTGATTTTCAGTGGACAGCATATTAAAACTTAATATTGGATTGACGATATGCATTCCATCATTAGTGTAATACATCGAAGATCAAATGCCATCTTTTGTAGTAGTGCGTAAATAAATTCTCATTCCACCATATCATACATTTTAATCATATCCGTTTTTATTGCCATAAACTTAATTTAGCATGACTTGTTAGTCCTTAACCCATGAAACATCTCTTACGCTACAAGAATATTATCTGAGATCAACTGTCCAGCTAAAATGGCTGATTATGTTTCCAAATTAAGTGTCCATCTTCATCATGCAATCCCCACAATCTTATTCCGGGTACAATGCCGTTTTGTTAAGGCAGGATAAACATTTGTATTGAGATTTCCTATTGTATGTCACATATTTTGATTTTTCTGTTACCAATAGTCCTCATAAGTTGCTTGAAGTTTTCTGAAAATTTCTAAAATTTCCTTCTGAGTCCTATTGTTATCAGATTGTACCTTTTCTAAAGCTTGTTGAAGTTAATTAACTTTTTCATTCCCATAAGATAGATTATTCTTTCGTTATCTACAACCTTATGACACAATTGCTGATTTCATAACAAAATCTCACGATCTACCATCAGTTTATTCTGCCTAGGGATGTTAATAATGGGTTTTTACCCATAGGGTACCCGAAACCCGATTAAAATTTGAGACCCGAAAACCGTATGTTTACATTTTAATTTTCGCGGGTTTTTATCGGGCGGGTCTTGTATTTGTTATTACCCTATCGGGTTTACACTGTCGGGTTTCGGGTACCCTATGGGTTTTTTTTAAGTAAACCAAAACGACGTCGTATTACGTTATATATTTCACCCTAAAATTTTATCTCTCCCGTGACCGCAGCCACAAATCGCAGAACTATCCATCAGACATGCTTTCTTGCGACGATTCATCTTAGATCGAGTTTCAAAGATCATAGCTTCAAGTTCATCTGAATCATCTATCTCTAGATTTGGTTAGTACCCTTATCTGCTTCGGTTGATTTTCATTTCTCTGTGTTTTCTTTTTTTTTTTCTGTAGTCTAGGGTTTGTTTTATTTCCCAGAAATCGAATACTTTGTTGGGGATTCGTTGTTAAAGTTGCTTCGTGTAAAGGTTAAAACTTTAGGTTTTTTTCCTGAAGGATTTAGCTTGATAGGTTAGTGGCTATGATATGCTGTGGTCACGGGAGATCTTCGTCTTCTGGATGAAGAAGCTCCATGTTGATCTCTTTCGGTCATGATTGTTTTGGTTTCGCATTTATAATTTAACAACAGTGGCCTTTATGTTAGCTAAGCTCTAAGATTCAAAGGTCTTTTCTATATAGATAAGAAAGGATTTGTTCTTGAATTCATAAAGAAGAAAGCGATTTGAGATTTGGGAAAGGTATGGCTTTAACGTCATTGATGTTATGGTCATCATTAGTTGTTAATTCTATAATCATATTATTATTTATGTTATCCTCTCTAAGTTTTTTTGTTTGGACTTTTAATCTTTTGTATCCTTTTTATTCAATAGTAATTTAAATTTTGTGGTTGTTTACTGGTTTTGTAGGATGGATTCAGAAACCTTTGACACAATAGCAGTTCTTAATGCTGCTAATGAGCAGATGGATATGGATGATGAGGATGAAACTAAGGGACCAGCACAAAGCGAAACTCATTTTATGCAAGCAACTGAAACAGTAAGTCATTCAAAACGAGCAAGGTCTCTTGTTTGGAATGATTTTCTCCCATTAGGAGTAGAGGTAGATGGAAAAAGAAGAAGTCGTTGCATTCATTGTAATAAGAAGTTAGTATCAGAATCTGCATCAGACACATCTTCTCTGAAAAGGCATTTGGGTATCTGTCCACAAAATCCTCACGTGTCAGATAAGGAACAAGAGTATGATCCCAAAGTAGCTCGTGATATGATCAGTGAGATCATTATATATCATGATTAGCCTTTCAGATATGTTGAGTATGAGAAGGTTAAGCCTAGGGACAAGTACTTGAAGCCAAAATGTCAGCATATATGTAGGCAAACGGCTGCAGCTGACGTTTATAAAAAAATTGAAGGTGAAAGAGAGAAGCTGAAGACAGTGTTAGCAGAACTCAAGGGCCGTGTTTCTTTTACATCAGATATGTGGACAGCTTCTACAACTATGATGGGATATATCTGTTTAACGGCACATTATGTTGATGATAGCTTCAGGTTAAACAACAAGATATTAGCCTTCAGTGAGTTAAAACATCCACATACCGGTGAAGATGTAGCTAACGAACTTCTTAGTTATTTGAAGGATTGGGGGAAAAAGGTCTTCTCTATGACCTTGGATAATGCTAAGTACAATGATAGCATGCAGAAGATCCTGAAGCATCGAATTCGGATGGTTAGTGGAAATGGGTTGTTGAGGGGAAGTTCTTTCATGTTAGATGTTATGCCCACATTTTAAATCTCATAGTGAAAGAAGGGTTAGAGCTAGCTGATAGTATTCTTGAAAATATTCGAGAGAGTGTTAAATTTTTCAAAGCATCTGGATCAAGGATCGAAGCATTTGCTGCATGTGTTCAGAGTGCAAGGATTAATAGTGGAGCAGGATTGTCTCTAGATGTACCAACAAGGTGAAATTCGACTTATGATATGCTCGCTAGAGCTCTGAAGTTCCGTGCTGCATTTGCTAGTTTGAAAGAGTGTGACAGGAGTTATAGATCACTGCCTTCAGAGGATGAGTGGGAGCGAGGGGAAAAAATTTATGAGTTTTTGAAGCCCTTCAGCAAGATTACTGAATTCTTCTCAGGCGTTAATTATCCCATGGCTAATGCATATTTTCTACAAATATGGAAAATTGAATGTTTACTGATGAAGTATTCTGCTAGTGATGAAAGAGATGGCTAAGAGAATGAGAGTTAAGTTTTCTAAGTATTGGGATGAATACAGTCTCATTCTAGTTATGGCAGCTGTTTTAGATCCAAGATTGAAGCTTCAAATACTTAGAACAGCTTATGACAAAGTGGATCGAAGAAATGCTGAGAAAAAAAGTTGAAGTTGTCAAAAAGAATTTGAAAAAGATTTTTGAAGAGTATGGAACCAAGTTTTGAAGTTCTTCAACCTTTTCAGCAACACTAACTCCACATGAGCTTCTTACTGAGTCACCATTAGAAGATGATCTGAATTATGTAAGTCTTTTGTTGTGTATAAATTCATATATCATAATCTACTTATCTATCTAATGTGATGCTTAATACAATAACGTAGGATCTGTTTGAACTTGATCGGAGCATCGAGCCTGGTTTAGACAATAAGAAGACGAATCTGGAGATGTATTTAGAAGATCCTAGGCTAGATTTTAGGTCTTTCACCGACACAGAAATTCTAGGTTATTGGAAAGATCAAGGACAACGCTATGGCGATTTAGCTTCTCTTGCATGTGATGTGCTCAGCATTCCAATCACAACTGTGGCATCAGAATCAGCATTTAGCATTGGAGGAAGAGTAATAAGTCCTTTCAGAAACCGTCTTCTTTCAAAATATGTTCAAGCTTTGATGTGTACTCGAAACTGGTTAAGAGGTTTTGCTGAATTTGAAGGTAAATTATTAGTTTTGAAATTGTGTTTTCTTGTTTCATATATAACTTTTTTATGTAACTACAGATTATATTTTATAATTTCAGGGGATGAAGATTATTTTGATGAAGACAAGGATCCTACAGCCACATCAAGTAGTTCTGAAATGAGTTAAACAAAGTCTTGGGTAATTTTGATTCTGCTTCTTTACGTTGATACTCTGTGTTTCTGAATTCTGAGTCTATTTCTTAAAGTTGGTTTATTTCTGCTTAAGTTCTGAACTTTGTTTCTGCTTTTGAATTTGTTTAACAACATATCATGAGGCTCTTTGCTTTTGAACTTGTTTAATTATCTTCTCTGTTTTTGATTATTTTTCTTGGATTTATGTGATATAATCGAGCTTCTATATTAGTTACGCTTCTTTTCTTTAACGTACAGGTGATGATATATTTTTAATCATTATCTTTCTAAAACTCAAAACTTTGTATAAAACTATAAATCTCAAAACATGATTAAAAAATAAATATCCAATACATATAAATTTATTTAAAATTATAATTAAAGCTTTACCTAAAACCCATAAAACTTTAAGAAAATAGAGATAGAATTTTTCACGGGGACCCGTGGATAACCCTAAAATTTTTGGGTTTTTCGCGGATTACCCTAATAATACTGGGGTTTTTTCGGGTTTTTAAGTTTAGGATATTTTTTGGGCAAGTTTTTTCAGGTTCGGTCGGGCCGGGTAATTTTACCCATCACAACATCCCTAATTCTGCACAACCCTAATTCTGCACAACCCTTACGAATGGTATCCAGTAAGCCTTTTTTGACCAATCCATCTTTTAATGAAACGAAATTGACCACACTTTCTGGATAGTGAAAGGGGATTTGAGATTTATGATAGAAAGATTTAATCTCCTTCGACTCTTTGAGTAAACAAGTCTGGAGAATGATTCGCCGAGAATCAAGCAAGCCCCAGAGAGTGTAAATGCCAAGAATACACAAAGAAGATATTTATAAAACTTTCTTTATCAAGCGTTCACTCCCTGATGGAAGGTAAAGACTGGATAAAGAAAGGTCTCAGTGTGCTATTAGTTTACTTGCTGTTGAAGACAGCAGCTATAGTCGACTCTGCCTTGAATTTGGCTGTGTCTGGTTTAACAATGCCTGAAATTCAATTTAAAAGGCTTTACAAATAAACAGCAAAACAAAACTCTTGTCTCTCTGTTAACCTCTTGTAATGTTATTGTAGCAGAATCAGTTTACTCTAAATATTTGATAGTAACAGCTTACTATAAAGTTGCTATAATTTTTTTTCACAAAAAAAAAACAGCTTACTATAAAGCATGTTACAATAACATTTGTTAATATCTCAAAGCTTTTTCGTTTTTTTAGGCTGTTGACTCTTTGACAAGTATTTGAGCTTTCTCTAACCGTAACTTTTGCATTCTTGAGGCACCTTCGGATATCGCTTTCTGTCAGAGCAATAGTCGTAATCCAGGTACACCTTCCTTGCATTCACATAAAGTTTCCTCTCTCTTGAGCTTAGCACCCAATTCTCTTTGCGGTTCCACCAGAATTGAGGACCAAAGCATTTCTCTATACTCATAAACTCAGTTGCACACCCATCAATCTTTGATGCCTGGAACTTTGCAGTGTAAGGCATCTCCTTGGGGTTAACTGTTGATCCGTTTTCAACACTCCCATGCATGAACATGGTCTGCACCGATGGGTAGTAAATGTCTTGATCCTTCCTGTACACTCGGATCGGTGTATCATCTACATAGAACCTGAAATTTTGTAGAAAATAACATTATTTTTGTTACTGATGTTAAACAGTAGATAAATGACTGAAAATACTCACACAACTTCTTTAACAAAAAAAAAAAAAATATACTTACACAACTTGATATGGGTTCCAAAGAAACCTATAGGAATGATAATCTTTGGTTGGATCAAACCAAAGACGAAACCTCTGTTCTTTATTTCCTTCACCGTATACAAATATATTTGTATTCAGCAAATACGCATCCTCGTTTCCCAAAATCTGGAAACAGAGCTCGTCGTGGCGGCTTGATTTGGATCTTAACTGCAATATACATACTAATATTTAGGATTTTTTTTTTTAAATATAGCATTTAAGATCAAAACATACTTCAAGAAGCCCTCCAGAATGTTTATGTCATTCATACTTACGTAGAAGGAAGTAATGACTCTGGTAGATTTGGTTTGGGGTGACTTGATTCTCATGTTGAAAGATCCTGATCCGTATACCTTGTAGGACTCAAACCCGGACCCTGTTAAGGAACATGTGACCAAACATAAGCACCGTATAGACACAAACACAAAGTTCATAACACATATAGAGACAAAACACACACCCAAATAGAGAGAAAAAGATAGAAACCAACCAGATTTATGATCTAGGGTGAGGTGGAGCTCAGAGGTTTTATTAATAACCAAAGCTGGGTGTCCCCATGTTGTGTAGTAGTTATCCCCCCATGTCACGAACCCGTCTTCACCTCGAGCCGCCGCTGCAACGGTTACAACTATTATAACCATCATCAGTAGATTCTGATAATCAGATCCTCTCATCTTCATATCTCTTTATCTTTGCTTATTTCTCACTTCTTCACTTAGAACATAACAGAACACGACTCTTCTTGGCTATGTTATATAGCAGCCACGTACGTTACGTTCTTTTTTATTTTCACCAAATGGGTATTGATACATTGCATCATCATAGTCCATATCAGTTAATTAGGATGTCTTTTTGTTTTTGTTAGTCCCTCTAGCTAGGTTTGTAGCTGTTTACGACTGACTATTTTTTGTAGTGTGGTTGAAAGCTGTTACTAGCTTGTTTTATACGCAACAAGCAATGCATTACAAAAGCTACAATTTCCCGATTCAAATTTTGTTAGCTATAAATAGTTGTCTATGCATCGTTAACTCTAAGAACTCTGTTTATCTTTGATTAGTAATCACAGCTGGTTCATTATATTATAAATTTTTCATTATGGTAATTACTGATGAGGTCTTGCAAGACCGTAATATTATTTGTTGAAACATATAATTATTCATTTTTCATTAGTTACATAGTAAGTTTTATTTTTTTCTAGACCATTTTTCTAATTTGTTTATATATTTTAATAAAAAAGCTGGTTACTGCATTGTTTTCCCCTTCGTTCTGATCCATTTATCACGAGATTTCCGCATTTGTTTCCTGCAGTAGTCTCTCTAGATGGAAAGCCGTAATGTTGACAATTGTTATGTTGATAAATACTTTACAATATTTACATGACTATGCCACTACCACTACCACTGAGACCTAATAGCTAGCATAAATAAATGTAAATAACCAAAGAAAAGGAGGTTTGTCGCTTGTGGTTAGTGATCAAAAGAATAAATATTTTCAAGATTAGAGAGATCATTCAAGATTTGCTGAAATGGATGGTGACTGATGGTTAGCTTGAATAATTTATTAGGTGTAGTGTAGCAAAACGTGAAGCCGACTCTCTAACTTTCATAGTTTGTTTTATCCGTTTATGGTAACTATGGAAAGAGATTGCCAAAGAGTTGCCACCATGACGACAGCTCATTGCACAACATGTCAATACGACAGCATCCCTACGTCCCTACGTGTTCAAACTATGCATTTATATTGTCATCAGCAGCGTGAATCACATAGAAGTTACATTTTCAGAACTGATGAAATATTTGAGCGGTTTAAATTAAAACTGAGAGAAGTGGGTGTTGACCTGAATGTCTGATTTAGACCAAACCACATACTATTGTGTTCGTATTCTGGCCAACGTTGAAGCGCTTTCAAATGTGAAACTTCACCTCATTTTATGATAATTAATTTGAACCAAGAAGAAAATTTATGTAGGATATAACTATTTTATTCTTACAGTAAAAAAAGGAAACCTCGTATTAGAGCTTTCTGCTAAGCTTACGCTTCTGTCTCCTTGTATCAGTTTTTTATTTGGTTCGAATCCTTTCTCTCCGTTGTCATTGTATAATCTTTATTTGCTGTAAAACATATATTGTCATCTTATCTAAAATGTCTTTTGCAACAGGCAATGCGCCGAGGCCTAAGAGAAGAGACTGAAAAACTGCCAAACTCTTTGTATTCTCTGCTTCCCCCGCTGCCACATTTTCCGTTATTTTTATTTGAATTTTCTCCTTGTGCTCTCCCCTTGTGTATAAAGATGTGAATAGTGTTTTGAGTTGAAAAAATGGTCAATCTTGTGGAGACATGAGTATAAGCATCATATCATATGCTAAGTTTTGGTGAAACGACAATAAATGAACAAAAATGATTAAACATTGATGATATCTACACAAATAACAATAAGATTAAATGTAAAGAAGCGACAAAATCTGAAAACAAAATATAAATTCCAACCAAAAATTTAAAGAAAAGTTAAAAGAAAAAACATCAAATGAAACTAGATTTTCAAATTTTCTATAGTATTAAAGTGTTGCAATAGTTAAAAAAAAAATACTACTCCACTGCTATTTTTTTCATACACAACTCTATTATTGTGCATTTGTGCTATTCGTAGTTCCCAACTTGCTGCTTATTTTTAGGTCTCACAATCAAGAAACCCACAACCGTTATTACATCCACAAATTCTACATTTAGGCTTTGTCTTATTTAATAAGCCCAAAGTTCTAACGAGATTAGATTCTCTCACTTGAGAGAGTTCCTCTTCATCCACTACAAAAATAAAAAAAAAACAAACAAAAATCAAATAACCAAGGGTATTTTCGTAAACACACAAAACCCTCACCAACTCTCATTTAAACAAAACGATTCACGTTCACAAAAACTCATTCCATCATCTCTCTCCCTCTCTCTCATTCCTCTAAACCATGGCGGCGGCAACTTCGTCTTCTCCGATCTCCTTCACCACCAAACCATCTCCCAAATCCTCTAAACCCATTTCCCGCTTCCCCCTCCCCTTCTCCCTCCCCCCACACAAACCCTCCCCCCGTCTCCACCGCCCCCTCTCCATCTCCGCCGTCCTCAACCCCGTCGTCCCCTCTCCTCCGGCCGAAAAAACCTCAAAGCTCAAAACTTTCACCTCCCGCTACGCTCCCGACGAGCCCCGCAAGGGAGCCGACATCCTCGTCGAAGCCCTCGAGCGCCAAGGCGTCGAAACCGTCTTCGCCTACCCAGGAGGCGCCTCCATGGAGATCCACCAAGCCCTAACCCGCTCCTCCACCATCCGCAACGTCCTCCCACGCCACGAGCAAGGAGGAGTCTTCGCCGCGGAGGGCTACGCTCGCTCCTCCGGTAAACCGGGAATCTGCATAGCCACTTCAGGTCCCGGAGCCACCAACCTCGTCAGCGGTTTAGCCGACGCGATGCTCGACAGTGTTCCGCTCGTGGCGATCACGGGACAAGTCCCTCGTCGGATGATTGGTACGGATGCCTTTCAGGAGACACCTATCGTTGAGGTAACGAGGTCTATTACAAAACATAACTACCTCGTGATGGATGTTGATGACATTCCTAGGATTGTTCAAGAAGCGTTCTTTTTAGCTACTTCGGGTAGGCCCGGACCGGTTTTGGTTGATGTTCCTAAGGATATTCAGCAGCAGCTCGCGATTCCTAATTGGGATCAGGCTATGAGGTTACCTGGTTACATGTCTAGGTTACCTCAGACGCCTGATGTTTCTCAGTTAGGGCAGATTGTTAGGTTGATCTCTGAGTCGAAGAGGCCGGTTTTGTATGTCGGTGGTGGGAGTTTGAACTCGAGTGAGGAGTTGGGGAGGTTTGTGGAGCTTACTGGGATCCCTGTAGCGAGTACTTTGATGGGTTTAGGCTCTTATCCTTGTAATGACGAGTTGTCTTTGCAGATGCTTGGGATGCACGGTACTGTTTATGCTAATTACGCTGTGGAGCATAGTGATTTGTTGTTGGCGTTTGGTGTTAGGTTTGATGACCGTGTCACGGGGAAACTCGAGGCTTTCGCGAGTAGGGCGAAGATTGTGCATATAGATATTGATTCCGCTGAGATTGGGAAGAACAAGACGCCTCATGTTTCTGTGTGTGGTGATGTGAAGCTTGCGTTGCAAGGGATGAACAAGGTTCTTGTGGACAGAGCCGAGGAGCTTAAGCTTGACTTTGGAGTTTGGAGGAGTGAGTTGAGCGAGCAGAAACAAAAGTTTCCATTGGGTTTCAAGACATTTGGTGAAGCCATTCCTCCGCAGTACGCGATTCAGGTCCTCGACGAGCTAACCGAAGGGAAGGCTATCATCAGTACTGGCGTTGGGCAGCATCAGATGTGGGCGGCGCAGTTTTACAAGTACAGGAAGCCGAGGCAGTGGCTGTCATCATCAGGGCTTGGAGCTATGGGTTTTGGACTTCCTGCAGCCATTGGAGCCTCTGTGGCTAACCCTGATGCGATTGTTGTGGACATTGACGGTGATGGAAGCTTTATAATGAACGTGCAAGAGCTGGCCACGATCCGTGTTGAGAATCTTCCTGTGAAGATACTCTTGTTAAACAACCAGCATCTTGGGATGGTTATGCAGTGGGAAGATAGGTTTTACAAAGCTAACAGAGCTCACACTTATTTAGGGGATCCAGCTAAGGAGAACGAGATCTTCCCTAACATGCTGCAGTTTGCTGGAGCTTGTGGGATTCCAGCTGCGAGAGTGACGAAGAAAGAGGAGATCAGGGAAGCTATTCAGACAATGCTGGATACGCCGGGACCGTACTTGTTGGATGTGATATGTCCGCATCAAGAACATGTGTTGCCGATGATCCCAAGTGGTGGCACTTTTAAAGATGTCATAACGGAAGGAGATGGTAGGACCAAGTACTGAGAGATGAAGATGGTGATCATCAGAACTTGTTGCTGTTTTTGTGGTAATTTGGGTTTAGTAGTTGTTGTTACTGCTCTTTGGTTCCCCAGACTAATACTTGCTGCTGTTGTTTTGTTTACCTTTTTCTTTCTACATATATAAATAAACTGCTTGAGTTTCATCTTTTTGGGCCATAATGGGCCAGCCCACTAATCCATTACCCCGCTATACTGTTACCCCACTTTTAATTCTGACACGGTTCTGGATCTACCAATCTTGCAAGGGAATTGCACTTCACATTGGGTATGATTTGGCATGTTCATTGATTTGGGGTTTGATCAGAGTTTTAATTACAAAGATGCCTGTTTCAAGTTGTTATACTTGTATTATCAGTTGTGTTCATATTTTCTGTTATGGTCCCATCCCTACAAAACCATCCAAACCCTAAAACAAACTCATTTCGTGTGGTCCACACCGTAAAGCGTAACCTAAGAATCATTTTTTTTCATCAAAGTTTGTCGGTCGTTTTTCAGGCCTGATTTATGACCAGACATATGAGAAGTTGTGCTTACACTTCTAAATTGATCTTTGGAGCTGATTTTTGGTAAGATGATGCATATCTTTATATATATCTAGGTGTCTCCAAAACATCAACACATAATAAGTTATTTTTGGGAGTTATGATATCTTTATTTGGACTGTTCTGTGTAAAGAAGATCATCCTGAGATGAGGTGTTTAGACGTGCAAATTGATATGGATTATGGTGGAACTTTGCAGACACTTTCATGATATATAGTTATAATGATTAATCAATGGAGAAGCTATTTTAGACTCAAGAACATGAGGAAACATGATGTTAAAGTGGTGACCATGAGCTCTTGGCCTAGTGGTAATGGAACTCCAGCTGGAGTGTCCGTCTTGGGTTCGAGTCGCCTTGGCCATCTTCCCGCCTATAATCATGTGTGCCCGGATGGAAAACTTCGTAGGGATTAGTCTGGGATTACCGTCTGGGATTCCTCACGGTTATCAAAAAAAAATAAAGTGGTGACACTAAATCTGTCCAAAAAAGAAAAGAAAAGGAGATGAGTAGTTGTACATCGTTAAATGGTGAAGGTATATGATCTGAAAGTTTGTATTATACAATAACATGGTTCTACAAGCTTATATACTGATGATAAAAAAAATAAGTTTATATACTAAGTTTATGAAATAGTGATTCTTCTTGTGTTTAGTGAAAAATGGTGACTAGTGGATCTTGTTAGGATGAAAGTAAATTATGTTATGTTTAAGTTATGTTGAGATGTGTGTTGTGTGTGATACTAGATTAAGGGCGAAGACATGGATATCCCGTTAAATTTTGTTAATCGGCTGCGAACAAAACCTTCTGACGGTTAGCCTAGTGTCATGTGATGTCGGACTGGAGGTGAATACATGGCCATCCTGCTAAAATATGTTAACTGGCTGATGACTCAAAGGTGGCGTAGGACCACATGCAGCCAATGTCATATAAAAGTGTGTTAAGTTGTGAATGCTAATGTGATATATATTTAACTAGTATGGTTATAAGATTCTATTGTGTTACATAATAAATGTATGATGAAAGACTTTCTGGAATTAGTATATTTAGTTGTTGACGTACATTGCTGTATGGTGTAATTCGTCCTTGTTGAGAAATTCATTATATAACTAATTTTCTTGGTTCAAGTTAGAATACGAGACTTAGCATTCAAGTGATCAAAGACAAGTGTTGTATTTACAGTTTTATCTGTACCAAAACTATTAGAATGTGAAAGAAATGTGGATTCAAAAGCTTTTAAGCAATTTGTATTAAAACATGTCATATTTTAGTAGTTAAAATTATTTAAAGTAGTGGAATGTAGATGATTTCATGATTTCTTAAAACAAATATATTTTTGGTGAAAGTTTTCAATTAAAAATATAAAATTTCAAATTATATCGTTTTAGATAGGATTTTAGAGTGTTTTAATTAAACTCTCATAACGTAACTGATTTAAAACATCTATAATGATCTAAGATTCACTACTTTAAAATTATATTATTTTAAATCTTCAAAAATACAATATTAAATCTATATTATTAAAACAGAATCCCTATTAGGATTCTGCCATTAGTTTTAAAATTATTTACAAATCATGCCACTCCTACATTTATTCATAAATCAATTAATTATTTTTATCAGAAATATAAACCAATCATATTCTATCATTTAATATCTTATAGCATATATATATATCCTATATTCTCTCAAGATTTTGTTTACTGTTTAATTATACTTCCCAATTTTCGTTATTAAAAATATATATTTACTTTTAATAAGGTCATAATAACGTTTTGAAGATATAATTATATATTCATATCAGATTTGATGAAAACCAGGTTGCATGTTTGGTTTTACATTTGCTAACATGTTTTTAAAAATTAATTATCTAACTATATTCAAACCTTTCGCATTTATTCTAATACTCACACTTTCTCAAAACATATAAAAATAACTCATAATTATATCAATCAATAAAAAAAAATATATATATATATATATAAATAACAATATATAAATTATTTTATAAATTGATATATGTAATTATACTTAAAAATAGAAAATAACACATATTCACTGTTTCAGAAAAATTTATAATTAACTTGGTCTAATTGAGTTAAACCAAGTGCCTCAATTTAAACGAGTTATAACTAATGGTATAATTCCTAAATAAGATGAGTTTAAATAGAACAAATTTCTTATTTTAACATTCATAATAATATGTTTAGTGTATTTTAATTAGATTTTTTACAATGGAAAATATCCCATATTTTTAAAGTGTGGTTTAAAATCTAGTACATCTCTTAAAAAAATGAACTTGGTTTTATGTTTGGTTTGATTTTTAATTTCAAAGAGTTGCATTTTTCAGCAGTTAGTATCCACTTTTCTATGTCGAAAAATAAAAAAGTGTCCACTTTTCTCCAAAAGTCCAGTGTCAACGACTTAAAAGAAAGAGAGTCAATAAGAGGGAAACTCATAACTCACCACTGAATTCAGCGTAAAATATTGGCTTAATAAAAGAAGAAGCTAAAATGTATAAGTCGATTTATGAAGAAAAAAAAAACTGAATTAGGCATTATATAGTTTCTGATTTAGGATTCACATGATCCAAAAAAGAATCTCAGAAGCACTAATCAGACATCGGACGAAGTTAAAACAAATCCAAAAAGTGGTTTGATGTACGTGACGAAAGCTTTTTGATCAAACTAGAATAATAAAGAGAAAACATATGGAATATTAAAGGGTCAATATTAAATCCATTAGAAAAGTCCTTTAAATTATTTTCATGTCTTTCTCCAGCATGAGGTTATGATGGCAGGATGTGGATTCTTTTTGCAAAGCCTTATTTAACGTATTATTATAGACGATAAACGTTACTAATTTATCATACTAATTGGAATATTTAGTTACCACTTCTAAAAACTATGAACTTTAAGGCCGATCACTATTGACTATGTGCACCCAGACATATATCTCAACTATAGCTGACCAAAAAAAAAAAAAATCTCAACTATCAAGTGTGATACTTTGAGGTTCTCTGTATTCAATGGCTAGCCACATATTAGTAGTGTGTTTTGTACTAGGTGCGGAATTATAATACTTTCTACATTTCAAACTAATTGTTGTTTTAGAAGTTTCATACATATTAATAATATTAATTTTATGTTATTACATCATTCACGTACAAATTAGATGATATTATCTATCAAATTAAAATTAAGATTAGTTTAAAATACAAGAATCAGATACAAAAATGATATTTTTTTGTAAAAAAAAAAAGTAAAAAGTAAATTATTATGAGGCAAAAAGTATGATTTTCTATAGAAAGATCTATTCAAATTTTGAAAGTATGGTATACAAATTAAGCTTACGTGTCATGAATGGTGTATTATCATTTTTAATATGTTTCACCAGAATCATTTGTAATATGTTAAACTCTTTATCGAAGATGATGGTATGCTAGATTAGTACAAAACATTATACATACATCATTAGTTACTGTTTTAAAAATCTAATATCTTGAAACTGAAATTTAGTTTTAAAGAAATAAAACTGTATACATATGTGGAAACTATCATTTCATGCCTAACATATTACAATATGTTCAATTCGTATCCAATTTATATGATCATGCAAAAATATATTCATATTTTCAAAAAAATTAAATAACATATCTATTGTTTATGTTTTTTGCCAAGTCATAAACCACTTTCACATCACCTGTTACATTATCTAGTTTTGTTGACATGAATGCTATATAAATTAATGACGAGAATGCCACATGTACAATATCAAAAAGAATAGTCATTTTATAAATATATCTTTAGAAAATGTAAATGTTTATAAGAAAAAATAACAACAGTAATGAAATAATATATTTTTGTCTTATTCGTTATAATGTTTCGATTCTATTAATTATGGGAAAACGGCCTATCAATTACTGAAAAGATGCCACATATACAATATTCTTTAAACAAAGAGAAATTTAAAAGAAATATATTTTTAATTTTAAATGTTTATAATTCTTTGACAGCCTATAAATTTTTATTATTTAGTAAACTTAACAAAATTTAACTAAATAATAAAATTGTAATACTTATATAAGAAATATATTTTATAATGTTTCCACATCAGTGTTGCAGTCGTCGATTAATCTTAGTTATGTTGTTAAAATTTAAAGTGTTTATGTTAACTATTATAAATTCGTAATCTCTGAACATAATTTTTTCGCATGATTACATAACCGATTTGAAAAATTTATATACAAATTCATAACCAAGATTAACATAAGAGTAATTGATAGGATCGAAATATTATAACGAATATTTCTCTTATATAATATTACAATTTTATTGTTTAATTAAATTTTGTTGGTTTTACTAAATAATAAAATATTAAAAACTGTCAAATTTCTTATAAACTTTACATTTTAAAAAATATATTTTTATATTACAGCTATTTCATTTTATTAAAAAAGTGATTGTACACGTGACATTTTCGTCAACAAAATTAGTTAATATAGCAATCACGTCAGCGAAACTAGATGAAGTGCATATGATGTAACGACTGGTATATGATTTTGGCAAAATTAATAATAAGTTTGTTATTTGACTTTTCAAATGATATGTATATGTTTTTATACGGTTATATAAATCGGCTATAG